GCTATAAAGATGAAAGGATTATCAGTGCTATCCGTTTAATATTTATTACGGAGAAACACGCCCAGTAGACCTTTGATAAAATAAGATTTCTAATAAATTTTGACATAATTTTCAGCTTGGATAATTTATTTAAGTTGTAATCAAGTTGTTTGAATCGTAAAGTAAGGGATTGAACATTGGCGTAAAGGTCTTAGAAAATTAAGATTTTACTATATACAATAGTTAAAAATAAAAGTTAATAACACTTTATACGCCATGTCAGACATATGTGTCTGACGCTAAGATGTTCTACATGAACGATGTCTGATAGGCGATTTGGTAAAAGAAGAAAAAAAGGTTCAATATGGGGTCATGTCAGTCATATATGTTTTTACAGAAATTTAAGGCAAAAAAATATTCTAAAAGTTTCCTTGATTTATTTTAACTAAATTATTGAATGAAGTAAAACATGGCCTGTTTGAAAATTATCGTGGCAATTAACGTGTGAATTATACCTAAACAAGCACATTGTACACAGAATTTTTCATAATACTGTTTTAAAATTTTCTAAATAATTTTGAAGTAAAACTTTTTAGGCCGTTAACGCCCAAATTGTTGAGGTCGATTGTGATTGGTCGTCGTGTTACGTGCGAGGAATCTGTGATTGAATGCGTACAGCGTATGTCAGTTCGGAATGTCACTAGATTTTAAAGTTTCGTCGTAGTACAAATCTTGATTCAATAACAAATGACTGAATCAGAAGAATATTTTACCCGCGTCCTCCGTAGTTTTTTTTTATTTTTATTTTATTATTCACTGCAGTTTTTATAATGTTTTAAAATACATATTCATTAATTTTATTACAGTTTTAATAAATTTTCATTATCAGATGTTAAATAATTAATAACAGATTTAATTACAGTTTTTTTGCATTTCTGTCATCATGACATTTCATGATGCAATTTTTAATACTATTTTATATATTACTAAATTTTAATAATAATCAATAATCAATCCACGTTGGCTATTTCTTAACATAAACGTTAGATTTTTTTAAATATTTATTAATTTCTTGTAGGCGAAGCTTGTTTTCGCGAATAAAAAAGACGGTTTGCTAATTTTAAGATTCTCGACCTTTCAAGTCATATTCTGAATCGAATAAGACTAAATTTGACATACCTTAGAAAAAATGGGTGTATGTGTGTGTTTGTATGTATGTGTGTATGTATGTGTGTGTGTATGTGTGAGCGGATAGAAAATTTTTGTCGACGATTTTGGGAACACTGATTTGAATAATTTAAAAACTTCGATTTGAATGATTCAAAAAACATTTGTATTGACGAAATGAAAAATTGATAAAATTTTTGTTAAGGCAGGTTTAGCGGTTTGGAGATACAGATGTAAAAGTAAAAAAAGTTGATATTTGACGATCAAAAAAGATCATTAGACTTATGAACATTAAATTATCAGATATTTGATGAAAAATTTAAAAATGAGTACTTTAAAAATGGTTAATTTTTAAAGTTTACTTTTACGGTTCAAACAAATTTCAACATTTTCAGAAAGCAAGAATTTTCAAAATTTTCTAAAATATACATAGTTTTATACTTCAACTATGAGTTTTAAATTTATAATTCAGTTTGAAATAGTATATATTTCAAATGCGTTATAGAAAGAAATATATCCTTAGATGAATTTATTTGGCACCTCTTCCTAATGTAAACATTCTCAAGTGTTTAAAATCGTCACCGTATATTTTATGAACGATGAAATATATAGTGATTATAAAAAACTATTGGAAAATGTTTAAAACAATTGTTATTATACATCGATCAATATTTATTGATTACTGTTTTTTTCTCGAATATTTAATTCTGTACGGGAAGTTCCAGCAACTTGCCTTAAGGCACGATGCCATACACGACTAGTTTTTTTTTAATTCGGCGGACCTTATCTCGACCAGCACCGTCCCAACGGATGCGCCTATAACCGGATATCGTATTGCGTTGCTTCGTGGAGACCGAAAAGGAACAGGAAGCACGCCATGTTATATTATATTATATTATATTATGCGAGTTTTATTATTATTAACGTTATTAGTAAAAAATAATATGCATTGTGCAATTTACTCGATGGCTGCTATGCGGCCGGAATGAAAAACGATTAAGAAACAAGAATTAGTATTCCTCGGGGGCGTACGGGTACGGGTACGGGCCACATTTTTATATGAATTTATAAAACGACTTATGAATATATGGGGATAGAGGATACTATGCAATTTTTTTCATGAATTTATATGTCTAACATATTAATAACGTGGGTTTTTTGTGTTCTACACATAATAGAGTTAGGGTACTATTTGCTCTCTAATTGTGCTCAAAATTTTTTAAGAAGTCTTTGAAAAGTATCTATTAAGTAGTAGAGCTAGTGGCTCTTTGAAACAGTTTTTTTTTAAACAGTATTTCTTGAGATCTACTGATCATATTTTTACGAAATAAAACTAGATAGATGCTATTCCTCTACAAAATCAAGTAAAAATAATTCCATAACTATTGTTCATTATTTTACAAAATTATCATTTTGCGGAAAGAGTGCGGTGTTACAACTTGCCTCATATATAAATATACATTTTTTATGTATCTTTACGTTTCAAAGGTTTCTGAACATTTTGACATACCTTAGAAAAAATGGGTGTATGTGTGTGCGTGTGTGTATGCATGTTCGGATACAAACACGGATCAACCGATTTGAATGATCCAAAAACATTTGATTCATATTGATAAGGACACGTGCTGAAGAGTTTTTGGTAAAGATAGGTCGAGCCGTTTCGAAGATACGGGGCAAAAGTGCTAAAAATGGTAATTGATTTTTTGAGAGAACGGTGTGCGTCCGATTTGTATGATTCACAAAACATTTTATTTGTATTGTTGAAATGAAGAATTGATGAAAATTTTTGGGAAGGCAGGTTGGGAGAGCCAATGAAAAATGTAGAAAAAAATGATCATTAGACATATGCACATCAAATTATCACGTATTTTATAAATATTTTAATAATAAGAACAACCATTTGTTAACCTATCTATGGGTTCCGTACCAATGTTTATCAGTTATACTGCGACGCGGTGCCTCTACGCAGCTAACGTATCGGGATTGCTTTGAAAAATTTTTCAAAATATTTCAAAGTAAAAAAAAAATCAAATTTTTCAAAGCTCAATTTTTTTTTTAAATTTTAAAAATGTCAAAAATCGTTTTTTCCAGAGTTCTAAAAGAAAATTGAATCTTTTTTAAACATTTTAATATTCGGTACGGAAAGTTCCAGCAATTTACCTTAAGACACGATGCCATACATCGCTAGTTTGTTTGAAATTGAAATTTCTTTCTGAACTTTGATTTTAAAACGATTTGTTAAAAAATATAAAATATATGTCATACGCAATACACATATTATTTCATCAAATATCCGAAGAGATTAGTTTAGATAATCATCTACAAAAATGGGTTTAATTTAAAATTATATTTTTTTCTCCAAGTTGTTAATACTACAATATAAATAGTATCATAACATAATTATTTCAAAATTGATTCATCTGTCTGGAATTATTATTTATGTATTACAATATTAAATTACAATAATACCATAATTTCCTAAATGTGATTATGATTCCTTCGTTTCATTTCCAATTAAACGCCAACGTGGTCTGTGATATAATTCCATTTAGAAATATATACATATATATATAAATTTATATACCTTTTCATCCGTAATTGGATCTCTTTCAGTTTGAGCGAATTATAATCAGTCTGTCGAAATTTTCCATCATTTTCCACATAGACATAAATATATAGAAAAATTTGCGACATGAAATTCCGTTTTGCGACTAACATAAATCTGTATATATATATATATATATATATATATATATATATTCGTAGAAATGCGTATACGCGTGCCAGACTAGGTCTATTGTCTGGGTATATCAAAACCGCTTAGGTGCAATACCGACTAAAACCTCCTCTTATCTGTTTGTTGTTTCTAGGGAAATCGCCGTTGGGCATTACTTCTGGGGGGAGGATCTAGAATACTTTATTTTTCACTCGTCACAATTAAACAATATGTGTTATATGATTATTAACTATTATAAATATTATCGAAAACAAATAAAAAGGAACTACAGCGATAAGTAAACATGGTTAAATAAATTTACCTTTTCACTCCTGAATTGCAGAATTATTATGTCTTTTGTTGCTGGAGCGGCTGCATCCGAGTGCAAAGGGTTAAACCATTAATCACTATTTTATTGTAATTTTGATGAAATTAGAAATGGTTTTTAAGTTGAGTTTTTGTAATAAGTTGATAGTAACATAAATAAATATGCAAATAATATAAATATGGGCTTAAGATTATTATTATATACATTAAAACTCCTTAAGATTTCTTTGATATTTACTAAATTTAATTCAAATTTTCATCATTTTTTACAAAAATAAATGCGTAAAATTATAAATGCGTTAATAATAGGCTTCGATATAAATTGTCTCATATAATTACTGTTTACTATATTTATTATTTAGTATGATATCAAGTTCTTTTATTAAAATAGTTCTGAATAGAATGACTGAAATATTGTTTTGTTTTATGTTCTATGTGTTTTATAAATTTGCATGTTGCCTTTCTCATGTAACTGGAGCTTGTAAAATTTTATGTAAATTTCATGCATTTTGTTGGAATTGGTTTTTGCATTTATATGTATGCTCATGAGAATAATTAAGAATTACCAAAACAAAAAATTAATTATTATTTATCTGATGAAGTCTATCATCAAGTATTTTAAATTGCATGTTTTGTTGCTTTTGTGTGCTCTTCATATATATTTATCTGCAAGTTTTATGAATCTGTAATCATCAAAATGCAATTTTTGCTTCAAGATTGTGTTCATTCAAATCCATTTGCATGGCATGTTTTAATTTGACATTTTTTCAATTTTTAATATGTTTTTTTTTCAATTTTCCTAAAATCAAAGATACTGCCGCTTCGAGAGCTGCAGAGCCGGACAATTTATGGTACACTGCCCGTCTTACATTGTCAATTGCCGGCCCTGTTATATTGAGCTGTTTGATATTCGGAGCTGCTTATTTCGTTTGCAGGTAAAATATTAATTTTGAAAATAATTTCATAATATGTAAATTATTATAAGATCTGGAGACACTTCATAATAAGAAGTATTACATCAGAAAAATCAAATACCTTAGTATTTCAACTTGAAATCAACACCATCAAAAATTTTCCTTTAACACAAAATATAATATAGAATACTTCTACTATTAATTTACAAGTATTTAATCTTTTATCCTTTAAAGGGCACGTGGGAGGTCGGCTGGAAGTGGATCTGGAATCCGTCTGTTTCCAGGTGAAGAAACAGAGCCCTTGAAAAATAGTGGTGGAGTTATGATGGGAGGTAACGGATTCATCCACCCAAGTAACAGCATGGTACAGGGAAGTTCCTTGAAGGACATGATCGATTTCACCACTTCTGGATCTGGATCCGGTAGGATAATTGACTGAAATTGTTTAGATTTAGGATTTCTAATAAAAATCTTTTCTAATCCAATTTTCTATCTAATCTCATCCAACCTCTTACATCTGCAAATTAAAATTACTATAATAACGTGGGTATCATCCTTTTTCCAGCTGGTCTTCCTCTACTGGTCCAACGTTCAATAGCCCGGCAAATTCAATTACAAGATGTAATTGGCCAGGGTCGGTTCGGAGAAGTTTTCAGGGGGGCCTGGCGTGGCGAAAAAGTTGCTGTGAAAATATTCTCCTCTCGTGAAGAAAGCTCCTGGTTTCGGGAGGCCGAAATCTACCAAACTGTTATGCTCCGGCATGAGAACATCCTGGGATTCATTGCTGCTGATAATAAAGGTAAAAATATTTATATTTAGTACTAGCAAACCCGACGAACTCCGTTTCGCCACCAGATGGTTTCGTGAGAAAGATGAAGAAATTTTTTGTTTGTTTTATATTTGAAAAGGAAAAATTTGATTTTATTACACAACAGTAATGAATTTATTTCGATTACAAAAATGAAGTGTTTTTTAGTTGAACTTCTCTAAGTAAATGAAAGTGAATCCGCAAATTATCCGTTTCAATGAAGTGCTATTTGGTAAACCACATTTTTTGTTTTTTGGTCTGACGTTAACACAAACAAAGCGGATGGTTTCCGAACTCGTGAACATGCAACGTATAACTGCTCATGTGAAAAACAATGATTTTCTAAATAATATATTTGAAATTTATCCCGCAAACACTAAGCGATTGGCCTTGCGACTTGTTATTGCGAACGCAAGGCAAACACGAAATTGCAATCGTTTGAAGTCAAACGAAAGACCAGTCGGAATCATTGGTACGTCACCAAATCGCCAGCAATTTTTGATTGAATGGTGAAATACAGTGCGTGTACACCATTATTCTTTGCGACAAGAATTGCTCGTTGACTTAACCAAGCATAATTCTGATAATTCTCACTAATGTCATTACTCAAATTTTTAATTATGGTGCGTGAAGTTCCATCAATTTGCATTGAGGCACGATGCCATGCACCACTAATTTTCTTAGTTATAAACCTTGCGGAGCCCGAGACTTTTCCAACAAATGCAAAATTGTCGAAATTGGTTCGTGAGTTCTAGAGTTATATCGTCAGGAAGGAAAACCCGACTTATTTTTATATATATGTAGATTATTACAGTGATGTGATCCTCTTACGTTTTAGATAATGGTACGTGGACTCAGTTATGGCTTATAACAGATTACCATGAAAATGGTTCTCTTTTTGATTATCTAACAGCACATACTATAGATGTGCCAACTATGATCAAAATGGCAGTATCTATTGCTACAGGACTGGCTCATTTGCACATGGATATCATTGGAACAAAAAATGTTGGATGCCATTATGGCAATCAACAAGCCACAGGTAATAAAAAATATTTTGTTGAAGTTTTATTTCAGAAATATACAAATTGAGTTGTTTTCCAGGTAAACCTGCAATTGCTCATCGCGATTTGAAGTCTAAAAATATTTTGGTAAAATCCAATTTAAGTTGTGCAATTGGTGACTTGGGATTAGCAGTCAGACACGATGTTAATTTGGATACTGTGGATATACCTTTTACACACAGGGTTGGCACTAAGAGATATATGGCGCCAGAAGTGAGTCCAATATAGGCAATGTTAAGATCCATAATTTTAGACTAACTCTAATTTAAATAGATGTTTTTACATTATTTGCTATTCTTGTTGCTCGTTAAATTTGTTTCTGTTTTGATTTGAAATGTAAATTTTTAGGTGTTGGATGAGTCAATAAACTGTTCGAATTTCGAATCATTCAAAAGAGTAGACGTTTACTCTTTTGGTTTGGTTCTTTGGGAAATTGCGAGGAGGTGCGATATTGGAGGAGTTTACGAACAGTATCAGTTACCATTCTATGACGTTGTGGAACCAGATCCAAGTGTGGAAGAAATGAGAAAGGTATTAGCTGTATATTTTTAACTTTTCGTAGGGTAAGTTATTGTAATCGTTCAAAAATCAAAATTGAATTTTTTTAAATATCTTCATGTTTTCTGAATGTTTTGGCATACCTTAGAAGAAATGGACGTGTGTATGTATGTGCGGATACAATTTTTCGTCCACGTTTTCGAGCGCACGGATCAACTGATTTGAATGGTTTAAGAAATATTCGATTCTTATTGATAGGGAGAAGTGGTGATTACATTTTGGCAAAGGCGGGTTTGGCCGTTTCGGAGATACGAAGCTATAAATATGCAAAAATGCCAGATTTTGAGAGAACAAAGCATCCGGTTTGAATGATTCAAAAAACTTTCTGCTTCTGTTGACAAAAAAATTGCTATTTTTCGATTTTCGTTATGGTACGGGAAGTACTATATCCAGCAATTTGCCTTAAGGCACGATGCCATTCACCTCTAGTTAACTTCCCAAAGAAGAAGTATATGTTTTCATAAAAAATCCGACTCGCTAATTTTATGTTTTCTCGACGTTTCAAGCCATTCTGAATCGAGTGAGACCAAATTTGGAAAAAGTATGTGTGTGTGTGTGTGTGTGTGAACAGATTTTTTTGCCGTAAATCGACGTTTTCTCAAAAACGGCTGGACCGATTTCAAAAATTTTTTGTCCACGTTTTAGCCCGCAATTCTGAATCGATTTTGAAAAATGAAAAAACGTTTGAAATATATTGATTGGGAATCGACCTGATTACGTTTTGATAAAGATCGGCCGGGCCGTTTTCTTGTAATAAAGTGTTGAAAAAAATTTTTTGACGATTTTTATGATTTTTTTTTGACGGTAGGTACCATAGTCTTTTAGATCATACTAAAATCGTCGTTTAATTTTAAAAATTCGTCAAAGTTTGCAAACATTTGTATCGTTTTTTTTGGCGCTTGTCAAAATTAGATCTTTCATCGACGTTTTCTCAAAAACGCCTGAACCGATTTCAGAAATTTAAAAGCCATTTGATGTATCTCGATGAGGACTATCGTATGTCAGTTTTGTGCGACGATCTGCCAAGCCTTTTTTTGTCATTTGGAAAAAAGTGTTAAACATTTGGTTCACATTTAAGCTTACGCTACCGAATCGATTTAAAAAAATCAAAAACTGTTAGAAAGATATAGTTGGGAATGATACTGATTAGTTTTAGGTGAAAATCTACCAAGCCGATTTTTTGTAATTAACTGTTGAAAAAAATTTAAGTTTTTATGGAACTTTTTTGGCGATATATATCATGGTCTTGTAGAACTTACTGAAATATTACGGCGTTACGACAAGAAAATGAGTAGTTTTTTTGACGTTTGTTAGAATTAAAATTAGACGATTTAATTGGTATAACTATATTGGTATAGTCTTAATGAACATACTAAACCATTAAAATCCTACGGAAACTTCTTCAATTATAAAAATTATTGATTTTTGAAAATTTAGTGCAATAAATCCACTAGGAATACTTTTTTTATTGACTAAGTCGATATTTACACATATCGGGAAGTTCATGTAACTTGCCTCAAGGCAAAATACCAATACCAACTTGTTTTGATATTCAATCATCATTTATAGCATCAATTTATTTATGAACAGAACAGAGTTTTTAAGGTCTATTATAAACCATCTATATCATTATCTCAGGTTGTATGTTACGAAATGCAAAGGCCAGCGATTCCCAATCGGTGGCTCCAGTCTCCAGTTCTAATCGAGATGGCCAACGTCATGAAAGAATGTTGGTACGTGACACCAGCTGCCAGATTGACAGCCTTAAGGATCAAAAAGACCTTGTCAACGATCAACATCACCAAAGACCAACCTTTCACCATGAGTGTTTAAAGGCAGACGATCGAAAGACGAAAGACGTTTTTTTATGGACGATTTTTAAACAGGTCGGTGTGTATTGATAGTGTTTTATCCCAGTTAATAGTTATAGTACAACGTGAGAGATCAAACAAAAATTAAAATATAAGAAGTGTGATGTCTATAATCATTTTGTTTAGATATTGGGGGTTTACTAGATCACAGATTAAATCTAAGTAAAACCATTTACAAAATATCGATCACGATCTCGTCAAGTTGTGCATTTGTATGTGATAGTAATAACGTTATTTCTTTCGTACAAATATTTTATAAATTTGAAGTTACATAATAATATTTTATTCATCAACAATTACCATTTATATTTTATTCATTTATTTCTTTTTGTATATACGATTTTATTTTTGTGTGTTTCATAGAGAGCGTTGTTGAACATTTATTTGTATGGATTTGTGATAACTTTTTTATAAATCGTTGTAGATTTATTTTCTTGAAGTTTTGTTTTGTTACAATTAAGAATAATATAAGGTAATTAATTAAGTGAGATAATTTATCAAGTCGTCCTTTTATGTGACAACGTCTTGGTTAAATATTACGCTTTGTGAAGAAAAAAAATTGTAATAGAAATACGAGTGTGGGGAAAAACTTTTGACTTTTTTTATTGAAAACATACTTAACATTGCGATCGGATATATATATATATATATATATATATATATATATATATTGGGGTGGTCCCTAATATGAGCATTTTTGAATTTCTTTGCTCCCAAATTAATAAAAAAAAATCTCTGAAAGTATCAGCTCTTAATATCAACATTTAGATAATCTACAATTCAATTAAATGTTTTGTATATTTATTATTAACATGTGTCATTAAATAAATTCTTGCGCCGTCTGTGAAAGCATTTGTGAACTCAAAAATATTTATAAAATTTTCACTTTATAAAACACTTAACCTCTAAGTAAGTCCATGTGGACTGTTTAACGAAATATTTATACAAAATTAATTTTGCAACAAAATACTTAATTGGAGATTTTGATACTCAAATTATCAGTAATGAATTGCTATCAATATTACGAGTATGCTATCACAGATGGCTCAAGAATTTGCTTAATGATATATGTTAATGATAAATATACAAAACTTTTAATTAAATTGTGAACTTTCTAAATGTTAATATAAAGAACTAAAACTTTCAGAGAATTCTCATCAATTTGGAAGCATTTGAGCCCCTGGGAGCAAACAAATTCAAAAACATCCATATTGAGGACCACCCTAATTGACCATATGATATATATATATATATATATATATATATATACATTAGAATGAGTCGATTTGTATGAGTCAAGAAAGTCGCTTAAGCACATATGATTTTCGAATACTAGGGATCAAAATAAGATACTTTGCTGAAGAAACCATATCTCTAAAATGAATTCTGAGGTCTCGCGCATTGACCTAGAGATAAGGGTCAAATTTTGAAAAATCTTTCGAGGGGGGGTCTTAGGGGATGAACTACTGGCATGGGTGGATAGACCATCCAAAGTTAGTAGGGGTCGGTCACACATTTGGACGCGATTGGGGCACTCTAAATGGGTCAAAATTTAACCCTTATCTTTGGGTTAATGCACGGGACATAAGAATTCATTTTAGAGATATGGTTTCTTCGGCAAAGTATCTTATTTTTATCCTTAGTGTCCGAGAATAATATGTGCCCAAAAGAGACTTTTTTGATCCATACAAATCGACCCGCTCTAATATGCCACATCGCAATTTTGTTTTTTTTGGGTCATTTGTATAAACTTTGGTGACAAAAAATTGCTCGAAAGTGAATTTTGAGCCAGCGAAATTTTCAAAATTTTTATTTTTTCTCTAATCGACCACCCTAAATTTTGACCTACTCTTATATATTTATAGCTTGCTATAATTTACAAAAACATTCATAATATCACCTCAAGTACGACTTTAATATTTTCAATATATCTCTGAAACATATATTCAGTGTAGTGTTATAAGATAGTATATATTTATAAGAAAATAACAATTTGTATAATATAAAATAGAAACATAATAATATATACGTAAAATTATATGTATAGAAATATTAATTTAAACAAAAAAATGAGAACGTTCATAATTTTCATTTTCAAGTGTGCATGGAAATATCGTTAGAACTTTTTAAGGCAATGTGTGATAGTAACTATATATGTATAAATTTATACACACCTAGTTATATGTTATAAGTTACGAAGGAACACTAATTTTGTGGTTGTGTGATTTGTTTGCCTTTTTATAACGATTTTGTATAATCTTGTATTTGTAGACAAATGCAGGAAATTAGTTCTACATGGGAAAAAAATAATATGAAAATCAAATTGATAACTTTCAGTAATTAATGAGATGATTGCCATTTGAGGCTTCTGCAATTTTTTATTGAAGTCGACATACATATTAATGATACAAAATTGAATTGATCATAAATTAATTTTGGTAAAATTTGAAAGTTTTGCATCAGTTGTCCAAAATAATAAAATGCATTTATGTGTGTCGACCCAATATATAAAATGTGGCTTATTAGATTTTTTTTTATAATATTATTGACTAATTGCACCAGAAATTAAGAGCAAAAGGTATCTTTCGTGTGATTTTGGACGATTAATTAATTATCATTTTGCTTTTTTATGGTTCGATTTGATCACAATAATGAACTTTTTTAACACGTTTATCGCCATGTCAGTCATATGTATCTGACGCTATAAAGTTCTACATAAGCCACGCCAAACATATATGGGGCGATGTCAGTCACATAAAAAATTGTGATTTTTAGGAATTTTGGCACAAAAAAATTTCTGCAACATTAGGTTTTCTTCATACATTTTGAACTAATTTACCATGGCCCATGTCAAAATTTTTCTGATATTATCGTGGCGATTAACGTGTTAACAATTCTCCTTATTTAATTGAGCTGTTTTTATTAGATTTAACCTAACAATTATTAAACCGAGATATACGACCGATTTATCTTAAGCAAATATACAATTTCGCATGTCCTCCAAATCTTTCATCCCTTTAGAAATAATTTTAAAATATTTCATATATTGAACAAAATAAGGGACTTGTAGTAATTTACACTTCGATCACTGCCAAAAGTTTTTTCGAAACTTTCACCAAATAGTGTCGAAATTTAATCAATTTTCAGAAAAAAGCGTAGGGTACATCGTTCTGCTATCTATATCTGAAAAACAACAAGATATAGAATTTTTCAATAATACTATTTTAAAGTAGAGGGTAAAAGATGTGTAAGTAGCCAACACCTTAATTCTAACGACGTCGCTATCAGTTTTTTTTTCATTGGCGTTTTGGGCTAAATATTGATTTTTATTTGTTTTGTAATATGTATTGATATTTTTAAGTTAGATTCAATAGTTTATTTTATATAACCTCTATAAAAGCTTACATATAGGTGGTTACAAATTAGCTTACAAATTTTAAGAAAATAGTAAAAAAACATATTTTTTTAACTAGGAGTTAAATGGATAATTGTTTTTCTGATATATGTTAGTTTTTGTCATGTACTTCATTTTGTTTAGAAGACAGTATATTTGGCAAATTGGACCTTTGTGCCCCGTCTTACTCTTTGCAAAAATATTTGTTATTGACAAACTTATTAAAAGTTGAGGTTTTAATAAATCTGTTGTATACCTCGTTTTATATTGTTAACGAACTCTTAATATTTTATACATTGAAATCTAACAAGCTACATTTTATATATTAAATTATTACAAATATAAACTAATTAGTATTTATTACTAATTATTACAAAAATTAAAATAAATTAAAAATGAAGTTGTAAATATATTAGTATACCAGTGACGATTTTTATAAGCGAAACATAGTTTAAAAATAATCATATTCGATAAAATTGATTTTATTTAGTTAATGTTTTAACGTTATTTGTTTAGAGAGATTAATAATGTTAATTTTGTAAAATTAGGTTTTTTGTGTAAACTTTTTTAATAATATTCAAAAATAATTTAGCTGTTATTTTGTTATTTAAACAATTCAATCATTATTTTTAAACAATTTAATTTGACTTGTGTAATGGAAATCGATCTCATATTGTAATAAAAAAATATTTTTGACCTGAATTTAAAAAAATGAAAAAGTATTAGTTTAGAAATCGAAAGAATCGCAATATATATAGCTGATTTTTAATACTATATATCAACCTTTATTTCATTCGTACTTGCATGTAAAATTTTATTTTATTATTACCATTGAGTACAATTTCATTTACTAAAACGTGTTTTTTACATTTAGGATCGATTTTAATATGCATCAAATTATATTCTAAATAATTTCCCATAATTTTTTATAGCTATCTTATGTACATATAGTCACTTAGAAATTAGAATTGCAACATTTATTATTAAATAGCTAAATTTAAACGCTGTAAATATTTTTCATATATTTCAAGAAACGCAAAATAAGATGATGATTGAAAAGTAAAAAGACTGCAGGAATAATGAATATGGATAAGCCATTAGTTCAAAAATTTCATATATTTTTTTAAGATTGTCATGCATAGTATATAGTTCATCATGTTTTAAGATTATTTTGATTTTTATGTTTTAGGTAATATACATTTATAATTAAAACATATTGTTAGGCATGGACTTTAAAATGTAGCCAGGATGTAAAATCTCAATTTATTTATAATCAAAATATGAAAAAAATTAATTTCATAATGTATGGTCCAAGTGCAGGGTCCGCCATCTAACTTTTTTTAAAATTTTGTTTTAAATAGGTATATATTTTTCTTTCATTATTAACTGAAAGGATCGTACTTTCAAATACAAACAGAAATTTCAGAAAATATTCACTAGAGCATTTTCAAACAAAAAGTTATTTGGCGGACCCAGGACTAAAATATTAATTTTATGTGGTATATTATATTTTTTGGTCAAACTTGCATTCAAAATTTCTTTTGAATGTACAAAATATTTTGCTTGGAGCCTATAAATCTGATCAAAAAATTTATATATATATCAAAACATTGAAGTTTATTTGACAATATAAAATATTTGATTTCAAGAATATTGTGTCTAAATTGTAT